GGATTAAACTCTTCATTCACTTCTTCCATGTAAATACCACTGCATTGTTTCTGAGTCAATCTCAACTAGATTGGTTGCCATGGTAATATCTAGAGACAAACAACAATTTACACTCATTCACCCATTTAAAAAACAAAATTATATGCACAGTATAGTTAATCAAATGGCCATTGCAGACTACACAGATATATCAGTGTGATATAGTTCAAATACCTGTTTGACATAAAATGTTATATATGAAAATGGTATGAAGCCTTGTGCTACAACATCCAGCTTCAGGCATTTGCAGGATTCACAGTGATTATCTGTGTTACAGATCTTTACATTTAGCATACGGGTTGCGTGACTGCGATGGTGAGAGCGAGATATTTTCCCCTTTTTCTTTGTGTCTCTGAAGGGAGGAGAAACTCAACTGACGCACGTTAGTCGGGGATATGTCTCCAAAGCGAATAGTACATGGACACATTTCTCCTCCCTCTGCTTTGGCTGGAGAGTAGGCGGCTGTAAATACTTCTTCCTACTGGGTTTCAGTCAGACCTTATTTAGGGAGCCCTCAGAATGGATGACGCCAGCGGACAGTCTGACGTGTGGTTTTTCTCACTGAAAAGATGCCACATATTTTTCCATCCGTAGCCTGTGTTAAGTACTGCAGCTGAACTTTAAGTGCGTTCCTGTGAAATTGCCAGTACAGCATGTGCAGTGCAGTCTACAGCTGATCCGTCACAGCTATTTAATATATCACTGAGTGTGGATGTAGGTCAGCGTGAAAATTCAAGAATAACATGATTCTTGTCTTACGCAGAGAGAAAATTGTACATTTCTGTGTACAGATTCAGATTAATGGGATGACAGTGATGTACATAATCTTGGTTTTGCAATAGTCCAGTAGCAATGTCCTGTTCAGCAGAGGTCAGTTTTAAAAAAATGCATGGTTTCAAAATGTGCAGTAAATATGGAGCTACTCCTACAGGGTAGTCAACAAGAGCTTTAGGCTGCATTTGAAATGGTACAAAACAGGAACATGGTGATATTTTATTGTAGCCTTCTGTGGCGACTTATATGGCGATTCAATCCCCCAAAAACATTATCATTTTATCAGTTTGCAGCCTCTCGGTTGTTGACAAGATCTGTGCTGAATTACCATTTAAAGATGCATTTTAAAATGACTGAATACATTATGTCGACTGTCTGTAACTTCTTGTTGCAGACGCAGAAGTCACTTTCCCTCTAAGTGGATTAAATATAATGCACCGAATGAGCGTTAACTGTTTATATTACACTTGTACAGTCCTTACTGACTGAAAACGGCAGAAACCGGAGGTAATTTGGTTTTGGGTAATTTCCACCGGTTCAGGAAATCGCTGTTCATCAGTGTTAAATTGGCAGTAAGCACTCGTCCAATCACAATCAGACTTTAATGTCCAACCTTGATTGCATTCTTAGCTTTAATGGGTTCAAGTCTGAATGGACCGTTTGAACAAGGAGAGCTTAACCTCATGTTCCCAGTAGCCAAGAATGATTCTTTGATTTAGTTAAAATAATGGCTGAGACAGTACGTATATGGCCTGGGGTTGTTGTTTCTGCTAGCGCACTGTTAGCCACCTGCTCCGAGATGCACTCTGAATTATATACCCTGCTGATGACCATCACACATTTTCCCTAAGACAAGACAGTGGGAAGTATTTGTATGTGTAAATGTATCATGACCTTTGGTTCTTAATTGTATATGAATGTTTTGGCTGTTGGTAAATGATGTTTTAGGATGCCATGCTGCCAATGGTCTTCAAGGTCACCCCTTGACCTTTAGACACATAGGTTAACCTGAATGTTTGAATCTATTCAGTTCAGTACGACACAACTGAATGGTCACATGCCCTAATTCTTCTGCTGCTTTGTTTCAACATTTGTTCTAGACCAAGTGTTTTGATTGCCTCTACTGGAACACAGTGTATCTGCAGTGTTCCTCGAGGTTGTCAAGTTCATTCATCTATTGGATTAGGTTCTGTTTTAATTTTCTGGTCTCCTCTTTTGTTATGTATGTCGTTTTGTTTACGTCAATGTGAAATCGTACAGAGAATTACTCATCAAAGTACTCCCACATTCCAAATGATGCGTGGTTCCTACAGTAAAGTGGAGCGGAGAAAATGGTTCTCCCTGTGTCTGCGCTCAGCTGATAAAAATCTCCTTAGAACTTGCTAGAGTTGATGATACAGAGAGGTTACCACAGGATGGGATTTTGGAAGGTCACTTTTTCATTTTATCTTCTCTCCACTCCCCGTCTCTCTCTCTTTCTCCCCCTCTCTCCCTCTCCATCTCTCTTTTCATATTCTACATTGAAGTAAGTGGAGCAGTGACTGGTTTCTGATATAAAGGTTGACACAAAGTCAGACATGTTGGTACACATACAGCTCAGTCAACTTTGGACTGATCTTTGGGTAATGATACATCCCTCTGCTGCAGTTCCTGCCAAAATATCTATTTGTACAGCGTTCACTTTGTGAGTGTGTGTGTTGACTGGCAGAGTCATGTCCCTCAGGACAGCGTACTGTGGTGTGGACTTAGCTCATTTTTTAAAGTTTCAGAAAGACACATATGCACTGACACACTCATAGCTCTGCTGCTGTGCCCGGTCTATACCAGAGTCATCCTCTACAGCCTACCTAGGTCATATTCAAGCTCTGCTGATAAGCAAATATGGTCGTGAAGTCACCGCTCACTGCCGTCTTCCAGATGAGTTTAATGATTAATGGACACATTTTACTGCCTTCACCTTGCTGTACAGGTTTGACCGAAGCGTGACCTTTGTTTTAACTGATCAGCTGTTTCAGACAGAGAGGCTGCAAAAACGGAAACTTAATTCCCATCTATCTATCTATCTATCTATCTATCTATCTATATACTGTTCTTAATGTAAACTGTACTGTAGATTAACTATATTTTGCATCAATATGCTAGAACCAGACAGCATTTTTGTTTGCGGTTATTGTAAGGTATAATCAGTCAGTGTGATCACAGTCTATTATGTCTGTTGCTTATTAGCACCAACTCCCTGCTAATGGCTCATTTAGCACTGTGACACTGCAGGTAAAACCTACGTCACAAACGCTCACGCCTGAATGGGCTTGACTAGTGAGACTTGGCTAAACAAACACATTCACATCATCATAGAGCTCAAGTAAAGCGTTTCATTGGCACAGGACTCGTGTACCTTCAAACACAGATACAAAAAAAAAACTTTCCATTGCACTGTAGGTGTACTGCCAGCATCAAGTGGAGTTATCCTTGGAAGAGAGCCAGAGGTTGAACAAGGACACGACTTGGAGCTCACGTGACCCACCAGTTTGGCCTGACACTTAATCAGTGTCTTTAGCAGTTTTACAGTCCAGCATGTGGTGTTTCATCTTGACCTGCGTCCAAGATTGGGGCTGATGTGGGGCTGTTGAGCCAGATAAGACCCCTGCCACCTCTGCTCATGCACTTTAGAATATTTTCAAATTAAATGGCTTTAAAGAGTTTCTGTGGCTGTTGCTATGTAAATGTACTTTTGGGTAATTGAGATATTTTTGTACATACTTACTAGTACTACCACTAGTCCTCACAGTGAAGTATACTTGAGGGTGAACTAAGTGGAACACTTAAACTCCTTTTTTTTCACAGCCGTTTGCTGTGTGTCTGTTCTCTAATCTTCACTCATCATAATTTATCATAATTCAACAGTCATTGTACAATTATCTTTTTTTCATCTGCGTGTCATTATGTTAGTGGTTAGAGCGGCTGTGTAATGTTCTCCTTTTTTTCCTCTGGTTTCTGGTGATGTTCCCAAAATTTGACTGGATGAAATTTCTTTAAAAAAAAAAAAAGAAAAAAAAAAGCCAAATGTTGGGGTTTCTGACGAGACTGGTGCCCATGCTCCTTCATTTTCAGCTGGAATCTGACGATCTAACACTGAGTTCTAACACTGGGTTTATTTTCGATCACCTCGGCCACGGAGAGCTGCGGCCGTCACCCTGTTGTGGCATTTAGATAAATGCCGTCAATTTTGAAATAATCCTTTAAAAGGTTGAAAAGCTCAGAGTCCGGTCCTGCTGTTCGCAAAGGCCAAACTGTATACCAACAAACAGCACCGTTCACTGTACTTCAGAGGATCCACTGCAGGGGTCTGCAGAGGTCAAAGGTTCATGTCCTCTGATAACGTAGCAGACAAAGTCACAAAAGCCTCTGTAGGACCTCGAGGTTGGAGCTACAGTTGATTTGTCTGTGATATTTTTTTTTCTTTTCATTTTTGAACTTTTGTTTTGTGAATTTAAGTACCTACTCGTTTGTATTCACTTTTGCTTTTGCTGAGACTATTGAATATATTCATATTTATTTAATCAGACTTTTTTTCTTTATTGATTCAGCTGGTCCAAATATAGAAACAGTGATAACTTTCTGGTTCTATGTTCAGGACTAGGAAAATTGGGACAGTTTTGACAATTCATACTTTGCATCTGTCTTAACAGCTCGACCCACTTGACTTCACATTCCCTGTGACAAATCTTTGCTGAAGATGGGCTGATCCTGTCCTCTCATCATCTCAATACCTGACCTGTAATAAGTCCAGGGCGGCACGTTTTCCTGATGTCAGAAGACTCCAGCTCCAAGCCTTTTCACTTCCAAATTCTGGAGGGCCAGGATGAAGCTCCAGGGTGCAGAGCATCCACCTCCTGCAGCTCCATGCCGAGGGGGGCTGCGGGGTGCAGCTCCATGGCTCAACTGCACCGGATGGGAGGTTACAACCAAGGTGGCCCCGAGCTAGGCCTCCCATCAGACGGCAGCGATAGCAGTGGCCAGGAGCGTCCGGCCACATCGCACAGCCATCGCAAGAACGCCCGGTCCCGCTCACTTCCGGAGGAAGACGTGGAGATGAAGAGCAGCGGGTCCAGTGGCAGTGGGACTGAGTCACACGGAAATGAGAGTCACGGCAATGAGAGCCATGGTAACGAGAGCAACGGCCATGAGTCCATGGGCAGCTCAAACAGCAACAGCAAAGACTCTGCCCTGCTGGAATCTTCAGGAAGTAACAAAAGGTAGTTTTTGTAACTGATAATTTAACATTTGTTGAAGTGTTTTGTTTCCGTTTCTCTTCCTTGAACTTTTAGAGGGCACATTACTCACAAACAAGCACACGCACTCGTATTTGATGTAAAACACAGTTAACGTCACACTGCAGCCTGAAGCATCTGAATTGTTCGGCAAAGTTGACTAACGTCCGAGTGCATGGGCGCTCGACGTCCTTGATGATGTTTTCGACAGAAGATGTCATTTAAATTCAGTGGACTCCCTCCCAGAGAGTCAGTAAAATATATGTGAAACTCCACGGGTTGATTGGTTTTGTAGTAATTTCATACAATTATTTTAATATGTGGACTGAAAATAATAATAATAATAGCTATAATAATAATACCACACTTTAATTATTTGTCATATTATAAAATATATGTTGACCTACATAAAAAACATATTTAAAAAAAAAAAATATATATACATATCAAGAATAGCGATCACAGCTACTTGACTTGACTGGTGTCTCGTAGTGGACTGTCATCTGTAGTGAGGGTCACATGGTCTCCTGTCTTAGGGAGTCATTTAATGTGGTGTGTCCCTGCCATATCTTATCTTGGATGTTATTTCAGCCACATGGTGTACTCTGTGCCACACTTTGCACTGGACCTAGCATTAAATATACCTTATTGATCGGTAAAAATTAAAAACTCAATAGGCTTTTTTTAGCTAATAACACAGTAAAGAATTCAGTCTGAACAACCAACTACGTAACAGCCTGTCCAGATGATAAATCTTCATTAACAGCTGAAATAAAAAGCTAATATAAAGGAAAAGTGATGATTTAGTTTCCCTATAGGACAACTGAAGTCGTTCTCCCAGTCCTCAGGAAGCTGAAGTCTGTCTTCCTCCTCATACCAAATGGATTGGCTCATACTCTCCAACTCCCTCTTATTACCACAGCAACCCAGTGTTTGTCTGTGTTTGGTTCTGGGCGGAGGAACAGAGTTGCATGCTTTCGACTTTGATTTTTTTTTTTCTTAGCCTCTCCTCCCATGTCCCAGTCTCTTTAACCCCTCCCTCTTCCTCTTCATCTATACTGTACGGCAGTCTCACATACGCCGACTTCCCCCTCCCCCTTTTGCTGATGTCGAAAGTCTGATGACTTCTCTGTCAACCGCCCCTACCGTGTCCTCAGATGAACTTTTTTTTCTCTCCCCCAGTTGTTGTGAACCACTCCTGCAAAGACAAATGTTACCTTCACTCTACTTTTTTTTCTCCTGCCTCATTTCTCTTGCCTTCCTTTTTGTTGAACTGCGTCTTATGGTTTGTTTAAAAGTCAAACAAACTGGTGTATTGTAGAAAGTCCTTAAAAATCTTTAAATTCTTTTTTACATGTGTGATGTCTGTATAATGAAGAGAGAAAGATATGAAATAAATTAATTTTAACTTTAACAGTAGTTATTTAGGAATAAATGATTTGCAGCCTGAATTCATCATTTCCTGGCTCCAGCTGATGAATATAAGAATCGAAGATTAATCTTCAAAATCAAATTGTGCAATACCTTACAGTATGTATAAACAGAAAGCTAAATTCTACTTCTTTTTATTATTTATTTATTATATACTTCTTCCCTGTGTCATTTTCTTCTTCTTTGGCCTTTTTTTAGCATCACTGCCATCCACCTCAGCAGTTGTAGCAGCAGCCTCTTGATAAGGACCTGTCTGTCCTTGACATTTTTAGATCACTTCAACATCTGTTGCGTCCTCGTTTCCTGTGCACTACACTGACACCAAGCAGGAGAAGAAGAAAAGAGTGATAATGACTGCTATATTTGACAACTTACTAGAAAATAACTTATGTAATGCTGTATTTATAGCAACACAGTACTAGAAAACCCAGTAAGCCTCTTAGGAAAGCTCCTTATTTTATTAGTGAACCAATTAGTGTGTGGGAAAATACAGTAGGTCACACACACACACACTAACACACAGAAACACACACACATTGATGTTTCAATATATTGAACAGTAACCTTTTATTTTTGTTATACTGGACAAACTTATAGTTGATTATGGATCAGGTTAGAATTAATACTACTAATAAAAATAAAAAAAGAGTTTTTTTAGTTGACCTAATTAAGATAACTGGGATGGAAAGTCCAGCAAGAGGCCAGGATTCAAAAAATTGCCAGCGTTTGTAGTCTAATTTTCAATATCACTGCCATAAGTTTGAACTGTTGCTCTTTTTATTATTTATATTCTTCATCTTTTTATCTTCCTTATTTTAGATTTCATTTATATACTTTACTGTTGGAATCTTTTGAATCCACTCCAGGGATTAAAGAAGTATTTTGAGTCTGATTACTGATCACATTGACTTTTACATTAGATCAGGTAATGTCACTGTTGTATTTTAGGTACAGAAATAAAAAAATAACAAATAAAAGTATTTAAGTTGGCTTGTTGACATTACAAACTTCCGGCTACCCCAGAGACCTTTTTTTCTATGATTCCTTTTTGATTGAATTAGTTTGTCATGCTGTGTCACAAATACAGAGTAGCCAGATTAGTATGTGGTGTTTTTAATCATCATTAACTTTTTCCGTGTCGGTGTGTCTAAATTGTTAAAGTGTTAAATATCCTGCTGAGCACTAATTGTGTTCAGTCTAAATCTAGCCCTTGGAGGCTAAGCTTGGTGGAGTTAGTTACCTGCCCGGGCTTGGGGAGGCTATTTGTGACGATACCTTCTATTCTTAGCCAGGTGTCGGGGATATTTATGGAGCAGAGTCTCAGACAGCTGTTAATCGTCTTCAGTTAAGCTCACTCACTGGCTTTAATTCACTAACCTATACTCGCCACCGTTCAGTGGACCACAATCAGGCCCAGTGGCCTTGAGTTCATTACTCTGTGTTCTTGTATATGCATCAGATATGACTGCACAGATGCCAAGAACATGTTCGACCAAACTGTTGATGAAGTTGAGGCTGGAAGGGAAACAACAGGAGCTCAGCTGTGTTGTCACTGATGGACACTGTTCATCAGTGGCAACAGTTGTTTTGTTTTTGTTTGTTTAATTTTTATTATTCTCTGTTAGTGCTCCACGGTAATCACGAACCTAGAGATAAATATAAAGACAATGAAATAATGATAAAAAATATTAGTGATTATATACCATTTATTTTTACTTTACTTTTTCTTCTGCTTTTGTGCGGCGTCCAACGTTGACCTTATTTCCACATCCCTTATCTTTTTTACGTGTTCGAACACATGTTTACAGCCTGTCCCTCGCTCCCCTGCTTGTGCTTCACTCTCCCTGTCCTCGTGCCATATATTTTGAACTTTGATATGTCTTGATGTTTGAAAATATTCCTCACCGTTTTCCCCTGAGCTTTTCTAAAGTTATCGTGACAGTCTCTGTGTTTTCGGGGCTCTTCAGTGGGCCTGGATTAGAGCAGCATCAGTAATTTGATCAGTTAAACACTTTCCAAATGTGAACTATGCTAATGTAACTCTACCATGACGCTGGTTACACCTGTGCTGGGTCTCAGCTCCACAGGTTTCTACAACGGATCAGGCACTCGGTCTAACTGCTGCAGATTTAAAGTTCAACATTTTCACTTATTCCGGCTGTATAAGAGATTAAACAAATTCTTCGTCACCAGTATAAGAACACCAAAACCTAATACACGTTTACATGTTGATTCCAAATACTTTTATGATACTTGTATATCCTGCTTTGCTCCTTGGAACATAATGCAAGCATTAATATCAATAATGAAATATAAAGGTCAATTTAAATATTATTTTGTGGCAGTATGCCAGTTGTATGGTCAGCAACAACCGATTCATTCATTTGTCTTTCACCAATAATACAGTTATTGGTCACAGGTGCAGCGAGCAAACATATTTTTTTTATACTCTTTTTTTTAATCCAATCAAAAGGCCATTGATAAAGAACCACTTTTACTGCTGTTTACCAAAGAAGGAAACTCTCATATGGAGTATTTTTGCAATTAAGATTTAGTAAAGGTTGTGTTCAAAATACACAAATGCTGTGTGTCTTTATAGCTGGAGTAGCACTCCAGGTCCTCAGGGAGGTGAGAGTGACCTCAAATCACAAGTGTGGTTTCTTTTCTTGTCTTCTCCCTAAATGAGAAGCAAAGCTCCAGGCACTCGGCAATCCTGTCCACAAAGGCAGAGATCTATTTTTCAGCTGGCACTAACCACATTCTGAAGATCAGCGTACTATTATAAATGTAGGGTTTTTTATTATTATTTCTGCTCCCTGACGAGCTCGTTAGCTTCTTTAGAACAGCGTGTTTCTAAGTGAGGTGACAAAAAGGCACATGTCAGAAATATCCTGGAGTCTCCATCTGCATCTATCAGGTCACTGTTTACAAATGTGGAACTCGCGGCTGCAAGAATTTAAATTCAGTCAGTGCTGAATGTGAATCAGTTCTCCTTCAGCGCGCTCTCTGAGGAGGTTGAATTTTTGGTTTTTAAGGCAGTATTTTTGACTTCTTTCCTTCTCACCCACAGCTCCAACTCCCACAGTCCTTCACCTCCCGGCAGTTCAAACGCTTTCAGTCTGCTGAGTTCAGAGCAGGACAATCCCTCCACCAGTGGGTGCAGGTAAGTGCAGCAATTGTGAAACGCCCCGTACAGGATATGAGTTAATTTTGGAACTGAAAACTTCTGTTTGACAGGATATAAATCTAGTTTTTACCATTAGTTTATTCATAAAGAGTACATTAAGGCAAGTTATAATATTTATTATTTAAATATAATGTATTTAATATTGCAGTACTCTTAGCAGTACTAGTTTTTTGGGTTTAGGTTTCTGGGTTAGCAGGTGTTCATGTTGATCAGGACATTTTTTTTTTTTTTTAAATTACTTTTTCGTCATGTGCTATTGTCATGAATTATTCTTGTCGAGGCCTTTGACGTTGCCCCTGTGTTGTTGTCATTCATGGAACCTGCAGTAGTCAGGAGTCTGCCAAGGCCAAGACGCAGAAGGAGGTGATCAAAACACTGAAAGAGCTGAAGCTTCACCTGCCCGCTGAGAAGAGACACAATAACAAGTCTTCAACTTTAAACACCCTTAAGTACGCTCTGCGCTGTGTCAAACAGGTGGAAGGTAGGAAACATTCATCATCACCTTTTCTGTTTGTGTGACTCCTCTACTGCCAGGCCTTCAGTATGTGGGTGTAAATCGTTTTTCACTAGGCTGTCGGGGCATTTTAGCTTTCACCAAGGCTACAATCACACTTCTTCTTTTTCTTCATCTTCTTCATCATTAAGGCTGCCAGCAGTTTGTTTTGTGTCAACAAAACAAACATAACCTAGAAGTTAATAGTGCACTGAACAATAATGTTAACGCTGCATTATCTCCACACGCCATTTGCAGTAGAGAAATAGCGTCTGTACAGTAACTATGGCAGCAGTGGTTCAAAACAAATGCAGAACCATAGCACCAAGCTAATATGGATGTCAGGAGAATATGGAACTGCTTGTTAGCACGTCTGACCCAAATTAGATGAGGACTAAAGGTTAAGGAAAGAAAATAAATAAATCTTTTGCACCACAGTGTGTGCAGTAGCAGTAATGAGCCAGTAGGGGCTCTACAGATGCTGCTGTGTTGTTAAGAAAAACGATCTGTTTTGGGTGCAAAACAGAGACACTCTGAGCCAATAAAAGGTTTAACGTCCACCTTCTGTCCGTCCTGTCCTACAGTGAGCTCTGTATAAAGACTTGTGTTTGTGTTTGTCCCTGTCTTTGCAGCCAATGAGGAGTACTACCAGCTTCTTATGATCAATGACAGTCAGCCCTCAGGCCTGGACGTCTCTTCTTATACCATAGAGGAAATTGACAGCATTACATCAGAGTACACTCTCAAAAACAATGTGAGTAACAACGCTGTAAGTTTTTTTTCAGTACTCAGTGAACACCAAACTCTTTGACAGGAGACGGGAGTGTAAACGTAACTGTCCGTCCTTTTGGGGGTTTTCTGTGTGGTTCGCAGGACATCTTCGCCGTGGCTGTGTCTCTCATCACGGGGAGAATCGTCTACATTTCTGACCAGGCGGCCTCCATTCTCAACTGCAAAAGAGATGTGTTTAAGGACACCAAGTTTGTGGAGTTCCTGACGCCGCAGGACGTCAGCGTGTTTTACAGTTTCACAACGCCTTACCGCCTCCCCTCCTGGAGCATGTGCACTGGAGCAGGTAAGGACACCTGTCCCCCACCACCCTGAGGGTTAGCTTTACATAGATGGCCCCTTAAGGATGCAAACTTTTCTTTTGTCTCTCAGTTCAGTTAAGGTTAAAAGCCGAAGCCTCAGAACGATCTGTACATGACGTGGTTTTATGTTTTCTTATTTGCACTCTTGTTTGTCTCCGTCTCTGTGAAAGAGGTTTAACCACAGAATTTGGTTTGGAAATGCGTCACTGATGTCACTCACAGCTGCTGTGGTGTCAGCAGGTTTAAGGTGACCTGACCTCATCCATATACATGATCACCTAAACCTCTTTCTATTAAGCTATAGAGGAAAAATTGAGGCGCCTTAAATGCTAAACCTACTGTGGTGTCAGCTCCATGCATACACAGGTGACAGTACTTTTTCCCCCAGTTTCTTCCTGAACATAGTAACCACAGGTGCAAGGAAAGATAAGCTTAATGGAACTTTTTTTTGACAAAGCTCTTTCTGCCAGTGGCTGCAAAGGCTTTCGAGTTTCTCAGCAGCCGAACTGATACTGACCAGAAACAGTTAAAGAACCCTCTCCTGGGAAAATTCAGTGCATTTAATCCCAGAGTAGTACTCATACTGTATGTACTTGCTTTGATGGAAATACATGAAGAATTGATTGTTTTCTGGGAGCTAAAAATTCTCAGCTAGGATATAGCTGTCTCATGTTGCCTATGAATTTAAATATGTGTTGCCTTTTTTCCAGAGTCATCGCTGCCTGACTGTGTGCAGGAGAAATCCTTCTTTTGTCGAATCAGGTGAGTGGGCGTGGGTTCAAACACGTTGCCGGGCCATCTGCTGCCCTCTCTTGTTTGTGGGTTTTATTCATCACAAAGATTCCACTCCAGATGCGTTTTCAATTAGTGTGTGACGTCATGGGCGTGTAAGCTGCACAGGAGAGCTACTTCGCACACACGAACGCACACCTACCTCTCTTTCTTTTCATTTTATTTCAGCGGGAAGGAAAATGCGTCATTGAATAAACGGCGTTTATAAGACATTTTGGCATTTTTCAACATTGTCTGTCTCACATTCAATATGGGAATACAGGGAATGGTGGATAGATGACCACATTAATGTGGCGTGTTTACAGAAAAACAATCTTATTTTTAACCTGTTTTTTAATCAGATATAGTTTTTTTTTTGCTTTTGCAAACTTAATTTACAAACAAATAAGTAAATTATTATCTTATTATTCTTATTTGGGTAAAAGAACAAGCAGCTTTTTATGTTGTCACTGATAAATAATGTAACTTTTTTTAAAACACAAACAACTGACACATTGATATCTGCAAAACACAAAGAATATTGCAAACAGAGCTAAACTATATATACTGAATAGATTGTACTTCCCAGGGTGAATTGAAAGAAACGTATGCAGTGGTACACCTGCTCGTGCTCCGACATATTGTATAATTATAATATCGTTATTATACACAACCTTTTGTTGACACTAATTCTAAATGTATTTTCTTTTTCCTTCCTTTTCCTAAATCACAGTGGCGGTAAAGAGTGTGAGGGTGACATGCAGTACTATCCATTCCGTATGACGCCCTATTTGATGAAAGTCCAGGATACAGTCCATGCTGAAGACCAGTTCTGCTGCCTCCTTCTGGCCGAAAGGGTTCACTCTGGTTACGAGGGTAAATAAATGTCAATATTATTAACAACGTTTGTCATATTATGGACTGATAATTCAGATTCAGATCTGAAATATATATATAAAATCACTTATTAATTACAGTAATTTAAAGATGCTAGTATTGACCCACAGCTGCAAACAATAGCATAAAAGTAATTAATCAATATCCGTCCCATAAAGCTCCCAGAATTCCAACAGACAAGCGGATCTTTACCACCACACACACTCCAAGCTGTGTGTTCCAGGATGTGGATGAACGGTAAGGCCTGCCACAGGATACACCGATCACCGAGGCTGTAAACTGCTCACAGACTAACACAGATGTTTTTGTGATTGCTTCTTATCAGGGCGGTTCCTCTGCTTGGCTACCTCCCCCAGGATTTGATTGGAACTCAGGTGCTTCTCCACCTGCATCCCAATGACCGACCAATCATGCTGGCCATCCACAGGAAGAGTGAGTACATGATGAGAATGATGAGGTTTTCTACGTTTGTGCAGGAAATCTTTTTCTCACGCCGTTCTTGTGTCTCTGTGTGCAGTTCATCAATACGCCGGCCAGCCGTTTGACCACTCGTCCGTCCGCTTCTGTGCGCGAAACGGAGAATACATCATCCTAGACACCAGCTGGTCCAGTTTTGTTAACCCCTGGAGCCGCAAAGTCTCATTTGTCATCGGGAGACACAAAGTCCGCATGTGAGTGGTGTTCTGTTAATATCTCAGGACAGAAAAATACATCTTACGATGCATCTTAACTTACTGTTGTTGTTTTTTTGTTACGCCCTAACAGGGGTCCTGTGAATGAAGATGTTTTCATGGCTCCAAGCTCTTCTGTCTGTGAGATGAAGACCATGGACTCTGACATCCAGGAGATAACTGAACAGATCCACCGACTCTTATTACAGGTCAGAGAGGTTATATAATAAAAAAAAGCTTCAAGATTTAGAGAAGGAGTTATAAAAAAATACCTTACAATCATACTCAATATATTTCATTTTTAACTCACTTCTATCCCTTGTCTAACCTCATCTCTGTCTCTGTCTGTGATTAGCCCGTTCATAACAGCGGGTCCAGCGGCTATGGTAGTCTGAACAGCAATGACCAGCTCTTGGGAATGTCCTCCTCTAATGAGAGCTCGAGCAAGGGCAAGATGATGCGGGAGGAGGAAAAGCTGAGCAGCAAGACCAGACCTGTAAGTGAAGCCAGAAACATAGTTTTGTTGAGTTTTATCGCCCTCTAGTGGTCACATTGAGAATTGTACTGTAGGTCACAACAAATGATTTTGTTTTGTCTTTTCACAATCACAGCGGACTTTTCAGGAGATCTGCAAAGGTATTCACCTGCAGAAGAGTCAGGAACAGCAGACCGTGAAACAAGACCACAAGAAAAGTCTCGGCAGTAAGTGGTCATGTCGTAGAATCGCACTATCCCGGGGTGTGTGACATCATGTAGCGCTGTCCCACTGACTACTGCATTCTTCCTAGTAGAGTCCGTACAGAGAGGGGCAACAGTGGTTCGACTCAAAGACTCGGCAGCGCCTCTTAACTGGTTGACTGGCGAGGACAGTCAGGCGTCATACCAAGAGGATCTGACCTTCAATGATCAGACTGTCTACTCCTATCAGCAGATCAGCTGTTTGGACAGTGTCATCAGGTATAGATATGACATCACTTGAAGAAATATTAGCCTGGAATATTCCAGAAGGATGCACATAATGTGGAACAATCATAGACATCCATTCACCTGCACCACTATTAACACTTTTTTACAACTGTAAAAGACAGAGATGTATAAATAGCCTTTTAAACACACAGCAAATACAGGATTTTATTGAAGTATCTCTATTGATTAGAGTACATGTCTTGTTCCCTATGTAGTAAGCATGAAGTCATTGTGATAAATTCCAGGGATCACCGTCACAAATGCTGAAAATGCAAACTCTCAGCACTGTTCTATAATTGATTTCTCCAGATATTTGGAGAGCTGTAACGTTCCCATCAGCATAAAGAGAAAGTGCCAGTCGTCCTCTAACTCGGACGAGGAAAAGCAGAAGGGATCCAACAACATGCAGCTGTCTGAAGGTTTGGCACTGCTTCTCTTCTAATTCTATGCATATTAGATCATACCCTTTGTTTGCCCTTTTAAGTTGGTTACAGGTTGAACTTCTCCCAGGCTCCACCCACACTACTTGGAGTTTAACATTTCTCATTGGCTACTCTGTACACTCTTATAGAGTAAATGAGAGTTTGTCAGAACCTTTGTCAGAATGTTCTCTTCTCTGTTCTCTTTGGCAGAGCCGGCCTTGTTAAAGGATCAGTCTGGTGTGTCTTCTTTGGATGACCGAGACAAAAAGTCCAGCGATGCTGCCACAGCGGTAGTGGGTACTCAGCTGCCCCTGCCTGTACCTAACAAACCAGAAAGCGTGGTGTCCATAACCAGCCAGTGTAGCTACAGTAGCACCATAGTGCACGTGGGGGACAAGAAACCTCAACCAGAGTCAGGTACAGTGCTGTGAAAAAAACGGCTTGACTCCCTAACATGACTTCTTTTATTATTGTATATTTAGAATACTAACAACTTTTTATCTTCATCTTTAACTTTTGAATAAAAAAAAAAACACACTCACTAAACACAGCTTTTATTAGTCAGACCACATGATAAAATGCAGGAATATATAGTTTATATATAGTATATTTTATAAAACTAAACTTTTACAACATTCTAGGAGATTATAAGTTGCGGTGCAAGCCTGTGACTTGTTTTAGACAGTGACAGCACTAAGTGTGACAAATATTCACTAATAGGAGACATTATGGAAGGGTCCACTGGTTTTTCACAGCACTGTTATTGCCGTTTTACATGTGACGCACTGTGTGAATTGTGCTGAACTTGTTGAAAAATGTTTCTGTACTTCTTAGCAATGTTTCTGACCATTGATCATGAGAGTTGCAGTAGTGTCAGGGCCAGAGGACATGAATGGAAACTGAAAACCTTCACTGATACACTGGTGAAGAATCTGCCACGTATCAATCTTTTCTTTTATAAACATAAAAAATATAAATAAAAGCATTCATTCACTGTAACATGCCACATATACTAGTAGTGTCTCTCAACTTAATTTATTATTGTATTAATTAATTATTTTCACATATAGTATAATATTCAGTATTTTTACAGTTAAACAAAAAGTTAAACAAAAATAAAATAAACAAAATGAATAAAACAACACGATGGCCAGTGTAAACACAGAGTCCAATGGTCACTTGGAGTTTTCACACTTTCCACATGACCTCCTTTCCACAAACCTCCGAGTGAGGAGAGTAATTTGTGTAAGGAAAGAAAACAATTGCAACAGATCTTTACAGATTAGGTACGAAAGTTCTTACTCCTTGTCTCACAGTGTCGAGCTGTTTCCAGTGTCCACATTCCAATGTCTAAACTGACAGCCTTGTCTGTTAACCTAAGGCTAATTGACATTTGTTTTTCCCATTGACGGTCCTTTCAACAAATTGTCTATGGTGCTGTCGCAGTGTTTTGTCTGCTTGGCTTCATACTGAGCCACGTTGTATGTACGCCTTCGCTATTCTTTTAAACAATCCTGTCTCTTCTCGCCTGTGTCCTGTGTCCCTTCTATCTCAGCAGCTAAAACACCAACTGCTGGTTAGTTTTTCTCTGAAAAATGTCATCTCCACTGTTAATACAGAGATCATTGAGGACGTACCAGGGGCAGGGGAAATGGTGGAACTGGGCCAGAACATTGGGGCCACTCCATGTGCTGTTTCACCTCCTAGCCAAGAGAGGGAGTCCTACAAGAAACTGGGTTTAACTAAGCAGGTGTTGGCAGCCCATACTCAGAAGGAGGAACAGGCCTTTCTGCATCGCTTCAAGGATCTGAGCAGACACACAGCCCTGAAAGACAACTGCTCTCAGTACCTGGAGCGTCAGAGACAACAGATCCACAGTGACGGTACCACTGAACACCAAACGGACACGTTGTATAATCTGATGACTGTTGCCATAACACCCAATGATCATTCTCCAAATTTCTTCCCTCCCTTATCTTGTAGCTCCTCCCACAGCTCGATCTTATAAGCAGGGTCCAGAGCCCCATACCCGGCGAGGAACACGGAACAAGAAGACCAAGTCAAAGCGAGTGAGGCAGACCGAGTCCTCAGACAGTACCGTGTCACATCGCAGACAGCAACAGACACGGCCTCCTCTCCTGAACCACGGTCTGAACCCAACCTCGTGGTCTCCCTCTGAAACGTCCCAGTCCACGTTTCCCATGGCCTACCCTGCCATGGTGCCAGGTTACCCTCTTCAGGGCTTCCCCAGAGCGGGTTGCATGGACACTCGCCCCGACACCAATCTAACAGGCTTTGGGGACAGCCAAGGGGCTCAAGCGTCTCCCTGCCCTCCGCCCATTCAACCTCCTCCCTTCGCTGCCCCCATGGTCACTCCCATCGTGGCTCTAGTGCTGCCTAACTACATGTGGCCCCCGCCACAGCAACCAGTGTTTCACACAGAGACCGGAGCTTTCCCCATCCACACGCAGCCTTTTGGTCTGGCTGCATTTCCGGGTCAAGGTGCCGCCCCGGTGAACCCAACCTTTTGTGTTCCAAATCAGTTTATCCCCCAGAACCAGCCTGGCCCCCAGGCAGGTTTCACCCCCCCATCATACTACATCCCTCCATCCTCGGAAACACCTAAGGTGCCATTGGAAGGCCAGTCTCGTCCCTCAACGCCACAGTCTGGCCTAGGGGGAGGTCACACATCCCCGCCCTTGTTCCAGTCTGGCTGCAGCTCACCACTCAACCTGCTGGAGCTGGAGCTGTCTGTCGACAACACGGTGCCCTCTGGTGGACAAGTGAATAATGCAGCTGAGAGGGACAAAGGAGCAAGTGCCAAACAAACCAAGGTGAGAAAATAGAAGCAGGTGAAGAAGAAAATGACCGTCTTTGTGTTTGTGTGTTTGTTTGTGTGTTCTAATCTTTTCCTACCCGAGACATTCAGTGTCCCCAAACTGTCTTTTGTAACCTTTTTGAAAGTGATGGTAGAAAATGTCAGCGCCTCACTGATATTATTAACGGGCGGGAGGAGATAGAATGTGCCTTGGTCCCTCAGCATTCAGAGATTGAACGCGAAAAATTCTCCTAACCCTTCGCGATCTACGACGTAGTATCTTTGATGTTTGCATTGCTATACCATGTTTCAAATTCCAATTCCAGTCTAGACTCCTGGGATGAAATGTGGCCAAGGGTGTTAACACATGATGTTATTATCCCTCCTTAGCCATCTCTCAGTCTCCTTGGTCCATCTGGACCGTTGTATTACGAGGGCCTGTCCTGTGTCTGTGAGAGTATGTCTTGGGATAAAGTGTGCTCTAGGCTGAGTGCTCACAGCAGAGAGGTAGGCACCTCACCAGAAAAACTCCATCCGCACTCCTACGATCCCATTTACCCCAATCCCATATGTCAGTCCCACACGTAAACGTCTTTACTTTCGGTGGCTCATGATTTATACTACAATCTGCATTATTGTCATCTTTTTGAAGCACGAGACTGAGAAACTAGGGAAACCAGAGATGAACTGAATCACCTTGATTGCAGGACGTTGCATTTTGTAGATGCATCGTACTGCTGTATGTGCGGAAAACATACGACACATCCACATTTTGATTTTGCATGTAGGCCCTCCAATCGGGAACCATTCCGAGACTGTACGTCGGCACTAAAAAAACTATTGTCAATGTTTCGGGGCATGTTTTTGATTTCTTTATGTTTTATTTTACCATGATGTAATTCCTGCCGTTTTTGTTTGTTTTCCAAAGCTCTAATTTTATATTTTGTAGTTACTTCTTGTATTGCAGTACTTAATTTCTTTGATTCAGTTAGCAGTAACTGCTGTTTTTGGATTTGATTATTTTAATTGTTATATTTCTTATGCTAACTTTTACACACAAGTCGTATTAGCTAAGGAAATTCAAGAAAGTAAGAAAAACTTATTTTGTAGTACTGAAAGTATTACGGCCTTCACAGGAGGCAGTACTTCTCTAAAGATCAGCAAATATTACTACAAGAAAATATGTCTGCTTTGCCACATAAAACAACCGCTTATGACAAAGACTCTCGGTTGTTTATTCATACAAAAGTGAACAGTGGTACAAGCAAGTACTTGTATCTGACCTTCTTGAAATATTTGTTATTTTATGTATTTTGTTTAGAGCTGTTGTGTGAAAATAAAGTTCAGCAGCAGTGAATGTGTGGACATTAATGGGTGTCAACAATAGTCCTGTACAGAAGATGGTGCAGGAAGACTTTGGGAACTACTTCTACCTAGGTTAAATTATAAGCAGAGGCTGCGCATGTGAAAGAAGCATAAAAAATAAAGGCAACACTGCAACCTACTGGCCATCGTTGTGAAGTACTACTCCTCTTTTAATGCTACTGTTTGCGATATTTTTTTGTTTTTGCAGGCAAGCTCACGGGGTGATGGGAACAACAGTGACGCCAACTCTTCGTCCAGCGACATGTTGGACATCATTCTCCAAGAGGACTCCTGTTCAGGCACGGGGTCGGCCACCTCGGGGTCCATGGGCTCGGGGTCAAATGGTTGTGGAACTTCTGCCAGTGGGACATCTAAGAGCCGGACATCAGGAAGCGCAGGGTCAGCAAGTGGAACCTCCGGCAGTGGAAAAGGTCATAACTTTACACATGATATTTAATAAATAATTCTAGGTTATTGTATTTATAATTAACACTTCACGTTTTTTATTTTACCCTTAAAGTCCCAATTACAAGGTTGCATCCCAGTTGAAGTTTAACTTTGTCTGGATTGTTAATAAATGTTACAGACTGCATGACATATACAGTATGTAAATGATATAAAACGTAACATTTCCAATACTTTTCTTTTCGGGGGTTTAGGCAGCAACAACAGTAGCAAATACTTTGGCAGTGTGGACTCCTCCCAGAACAGCCAGAAGGTCAAGGGTCACTCGAGTGGCAGCGATGGAAGGCCCATAGAGATGGAGCAGAGCGATAACTTCATCAAGTATGTACTGCAGGACCCGCAGTGGCTGCTCAGGGCCAACACAGATGAAAAAGTCATGATGACCTATCAGCTGCCCTTGCGGTGAGTAGGACAGGGATAAAGCCAATGAGGAGTAGGATAGTGGCCCTCTAGAAAAGAGGTCTCACACTAGGGTCAGTGAACCACATGCACTTTCTTTTTCCCAAACACCACGCTTGGCCACAGCTTATTAGCAGGCAAGTCTGTAGACCTACCGAACCCCATGATAGCGTGCAAAGTAAAGTAAAACTCAGCTAAACAATCAGAAGGAAATGGATTTGGCTACAGTCGAACCACAGGATTAAAAAGAAACAGACATTGTAATGGGATCGCTGCACCACCTGCTGGACTGGATGCTGAAAATCCCACAGGTTTTTCATATTTGACACAGCTGCTCTACACTAAATATCAGCTTTAGCTCTTGATATATGATACTACTGCAACTGAGGTAAACTGTTCTGAGCGCCCCTTGTATAAAGGAAATTTTCATTTTTTCTCCCACTGCTGTGTAATCTCATAATTGTTGTTGAAGGTCGGTGTCTTTATGTTTGTTTTTTGTGTTTTATTTTTCTGTGTGAGCAGTGATTTCGAGATGGTGCTCCGAGAGGACAGAGAGAAACTGAAGATGGTGCAGAAACACCAACCCCGGTTTTCAGAGGAGCAGAAGAAGGAGCTGATCGAAGTTCACCCCTGGATCAAGAACGGTGGTCTGCCCAAGGCCATAGACATAAAGGTATGACATTTTTAGTTCAAGTTTTTTTTAGAAAACAGAAGCTGAAGATTTAAATATTTTTAATGGAAGCAGTCAGGATGGACAAGGTTAGAAATGAACAATTCTTCAGAATGTTGACAGAATATGACGTGTCAAACAAAAGAATATCAAAGGTTTAAACCATAATCCCATTTTATTTTATTTTTTAGTTTCTGGCCTCATTTCTTATGTGTGTTGTTTCCAGGTCTGCTCCTGCTGTGACGGTGCCTCAGCGGCTACAGAAATGTCGACGGCCGCTGTGGTGGTGGCAGAGGATCAGCCAGATCTGGAGTTAAGTGACATTGAAGTTGCTGAAGTTGGCTGCCAGCATAGAGCCAGAGAGGAGCCACCAAAGACTGTTGTGTCTGTCTGCCATGACCACTGTGCTGGCTCATTTTCTCAGACCGTACCTGACAGACAATAAAGTATTCAGGAGTCACACTGTGACTGTCATTAACCACCAACCACCTCACATTCTGCAGGAGCTGAAGAGTCACCTCTGTTTTCAAAGAAAATTCGTATGTATTATCTTGCTGTTTTGAGTAACGCCTGTAAGGATATCTTTTTGTTTCATTGAAGTCCTTACTTTTTTTTTCTTTTAGTGTAGTCCTCAGCTGTACAATGCAGGGCACGTCGGTGCTTCCTGAGCTCTGTATGTTGAATCTTTCCATTTGTTCGCAGCATCTTGTAACATGCAGGACCACCACACTACACAGTAGAGGTCAAGGTGTGGCTGATCAGTGTAATAGCTCTGTGGTTGGTGAAACCCTTACGTTACAGTAAGTTTCCTTTGCCAGAAAATGCGATGACAAAAAGGGATAAAGAACCTAACTTATTTATTTTTTTACTAATTTCAGTCACAAATGCCAGTTGAAAAGGCAAAACCGTCATGAAGTAACGTCAGGCAGAACATAGATTCCTGCACAAAGGAGGAGAATCCATTCCCTTTGGACCACACTAACATAAAAGACATGACCATGTCAAAAATACAAAACAACAAAACAAATTCTGATTGGTTCAGAACTGGGCAGTCAAACTCATTTACTGTGGTTCCCGTCAAAGGGCAGATGGTACCAAACTGTCTCAGTGTAACTCCCCTGTGATGTCATCAAGTCATCATCGCTGTGTTGGATTTTTATTTATTGACAAAACAAACATTGTTCATTATTATGTGTTAAAACAGATTTCATTTTCATTTAATAGGTCAAAAAAATCACATAAAAAAAATCTAAACTTGTAAAATCAATATCGTCAATATGGAACACAAGTTATTAGATTAATAGTTGGTACAATGAAGAACTTTGCAGAACTGGGAAGAATTAAAAGCTGCACACACAGTCCCGCAGGCAGTGCTAATAAAACTAATAAGAAGAGTTGATTACAATATAGAAATGACTGCATAAATAAACACATGGGTAAATACAACAATAACATTACTACAATATTTTGAATTAATTTCAGATTGTCTCATGGGCCACATTTGATGTCTTACCAGAATTGGCCTGCGGGCCTTAAGTTTAGAAATATATGCCCAACGGACCTTATTCTTCAGACTGAAATTTGACGTGCCTAAAAAGATTATCTTAGCAGTGGATGAAACAACAAGAGTTTGTGGGATTTTGTGCAAAGTCAATGCCCCTAAATGTGGAATGTTTTTTGGAGGAAGTGTAGTATTTCTCAGTTGTCTCTGCTCACGCTCTAGTTTGTGCTCCTTTTGCTCCTAGTGTTGCATGTGGCATCCTCAGAAGTCAAGTATTTAGTCTCCAGCTTTTTACTACATTTGTGACCTATATACCTGAGGTTTCAGAAATGTCAAATGCCACGTTTAATGATTTTCAGTTTCTCCTGCTTCTGACATATGTTGCAAAAACATTTCACTCTAGACTTTCTTGGACATTGAACTTGTCCTGACTCTGTTCCTGTCAGATGCCTTTCCTCTCCACAATCTGGCTTTTGTGAATGTGACAATCTTTGATTTAGTTTATATTTTTATACAAAATAATTATTTGTGTATTTAAACAAAATGTGAATTGTCTACATTTTTACATTGGGACAATTCTCCACTGGGTGTTACATTCAGGGTAAAGAGAGAATATTGATGTTTCCTCGGTTTAAAGTGTGCCACATGACACCTGATCTGTCTGATGTGGCACCCCTCATAAATATGGAGACGAGCATCCTGTGAAGGTCATTCATTAGTCAGACCAAACGTGTGGTCCCTTCACATGTAAAGGCTTTAGGGTTATTGCACGGGCGTAAAGCAGCGACTCAGACAGATGCATGGTGACAGCGTGGAACTCTAACTTTAGTGTCAGGGAAATAAGTTAACCTTGTAGACTGAGAGTTTGAATCTCCCTTTTTTATTCAAAGTAAATTTCCTGCACCTTGGTTTGAACTGTATTTGTTCCAAATTTAAATTATTTTTCTTGAGAAAAAATATATGTATTTTGGTCATAAAGAAGATCATGACCTAAATGTCCATGTGACTCTAAAAGTCCCCGAATTTTTAAAACTAATTTTTTTTTAGTTTACCTATTTGAATGGATCGTTGCAGACACTGCACCTTTTTATTTGTTGTCATTGTCTTTTACTTTTGAACATTTCTTCAAACAAACAAAGAAAATAATTCTTTGATTCTTGTGGAAATCTTTGACTATAATAAAAACGCCTGTTTTACACAGCACTGAACTCTGGTGTGCGTTTGACGTTTGACAGTTTGAAGAACAGTTGAACTGAACAGTTGAACGATGATTGGGTGTCAACGACTGTAGAAATATGGCTGTTTGCAGCTACTCCATCCTCCACTAACACACATGTGGATCCAAGAATGGAAGAAAGCTGGGTTTGGTGGTGGGGTCGCCCCCATATAGTTGAAATATTTTTGGAATTAAAAAAAAAAAAATTATTTTAGATTTTACCAAGTCGGGTTGAATGCTCATCGTCACTGATGTTCCTAAGTCTTGACTTTCACCTTCCGAAACCGGATGCAAATAAGCGTCAGTTAGACGTGGCTGATCAAAGCCTTCATCTCCATATGGTGCTGCTGCTGTTGCTGCTGCTAGAGCAGCAGTTTCTCGCATAGTTCCAGCCGAGGTGACAATTTTTACAACCTGATCTCCTGCTGCGAACGTTCACACCTAGAGGGAGCCGCAAATCCGGTCCAGTCAGCACACACACAGACACACAGACTAGTCAGAGATAAATACATTCCCTGGCTCCTCACCCTAACCTTTATTCATTTATTTAAAAGTGACCGTGCATTTTAATTAACTTGTCGATGTACACTATATAAGGTTAAGGTAGAAATATATAGCAAAAATAAATAAATATATAGCAGAATTTGCATCTACACATCTCTAGTGCTCTGCAGGTATGACAATAATAATCTAAATATCAGAAACCCTGCACAACAGAACAGAACAGAAAATAAATTAAAATTTACTGACCACCTATTTGATTGAGAGGGATGTAATTTGTATTCCATTATATGTATTTTATTACCTGTTGAGTGAATGTTGTTCTCTTTCAGCTATTACACCATCGCCACAAGTAGACTACGGCTGTCACGATGAATTCAGCCAGGGCGGTGGGGGTAGAGCAATTCCATTTAAGATGTGAGTTGGAATATCTTTTTATACTTTTCTAAATGTAGGATATTGTAGTTTTAGAGTATGATATAAAGGCCAAAAGGATAAATACACTCTATCTGATTACCAGCTTTTTTAGGGGAGCGTCTATCATCTTTAAGTGTTTGTCAGAAACTAGTTGGTGAATTCAATATGAAAAAAATCTATTAAAATCATAGCAATAATAAAAAAACAAACCCATACCCTTACTTTAATCTGGCTCTAATTAATTATAACTCCAATTCTACACTCAAAATTAGTGACTGTTTACGTAAAGTTGGAGGCAGCTCAAAAACAATAACAAGCTGTTGGCAGGGCAAAGCTCTCAGTTCTGGCTTTGAGTAAAACTGTACAGTACGTTCATGAGTACCTGAAAGTGAAAGTACTTGTGTAGAGCAGAGTGGAATAAAAGAAGAAAAAAACACTAATAAACCCACGCTCATTGTGGTAATATTTCTTTTCAACAAAGATTCCTCTTTGAGTGTGGGTGTTAACTGACTGTGGTTGGCGTGAGAACTGACACTTGGTGTGGACATCACAGGAACACCAGACGAGGATCGTTGAGAATCCCTGTCTTTTCTTATGCATTTGTTAGCCGTGGGAGCAGAGAGCGGAGCTGTGTCTGTCATCGTGGATTGAAATCGCATCACACAGACACGTTAAAGCTTTGGGCTGTCTCTGTGAAATAATACACACCAGCAGTAGCATTTGGAATATTCACTCCTCTAACTTGGATAATGTGTGGACAGTCTGAGAAGATAGCATGTTACATAAAAAAATGGTTACATTTGCTAACTTGAGAGTCATGACCGTGCAAGTTTTTCATGCTATTTTTGAAACCTGAAGTTAAAAAAACCCACTCAAATCCTCAAATACAGTGAGAGTGAACAGATTACTCATTTCACACCTCACAAACGTCTACGACGTGCTAAGGGCTCTTGAAGAGACGTGGCGCGCACAAATGGCTTACAATGGTAGAGTAATAACTAATATCCTGAAAGACAGCCGCGGGTGGGCGGTTAGTGGGATCCTTTTGTGCAATTTTGGTCCCTTTATGAAGAGGCTGTTGGACAAGTAGAACAGAAAACAAACCATTTGTCAAAGTGATATTTATTGAAAAGTTTGAATCTAAGGAAATCACAAGCAATTGGCCCAACATAAGGGCTTATCTGCACGCATAATTAGAGTAACAAACATCCTAAAGAGGAAATAATTTACACACAGCTAATGATGCAGTTCTATTGGACAGTTACTGATCCTTCAATACAGCTCAGTCAAATGCAACAGGGAAATATTTACATTATCCATTTTGGCCAGGTCCATTATTTGCCAATACATTAGGGACTCTAGCTCCTGCAAAACAGAAGTACATACTTTATTTATTAAATACATTTTATTTTAATTGAAGTTCTACAAAGAGCTTTTTTTTTCTTCAAAAAAATGTCACACAACAACTTTTACAGGTGTCATCTCTGCTGTGTTTCTTGTCTTGCCCCAAGGCCTAACCCATAAAAGATCCTAACACAAACCATTAAATCATCTATATGAGCCTAAAACACTTCTTCTACAATACCCTACCAGGGTCTCCACATCGACTTGGAGTACGTTATAGAGGGCAAACAAGGCACATCTTGACTGTCAGCCTCCTCTGAGGAGGAAACGTGACTTTGCTCCGAGTCTGTCTCGTCCAGGTCGGAGCAGAGGAGGTCATCGGTGGAGGATGTGGACAGGGCCGGGGACATGCTGTCGGACAGGGACCAAGTGCTATTGCTTCTGGGATATTCTGCCACGGCATCTGGCAGCATCAGGCGAAGGCGCTCCTCATCGTTCAAAGGCATGCTCTCCAGGAGGTGGTTCAGCGGCTCTGCCGCCTCAGTTGGGTCAATTCCCGGGCAGTTGGAGACAAATGTGTGCACGTCGTGCATACACTGGATGTAGCCCGCTGCAAATCGCTCACATGCTTCTCGGTTCACGGCATCCACTTCTAAAAAGGCACATGAGAAGATCACCTTTCAGTTACTTCCAACTGTAAACATGTTTGCAATAAAATGCATTTGGTTAAGCTGCACGCTCAACACTAAGAACCATAAATATGCATGAAAAAATTGGGACATGTAAAAACCAGCAGAAAACATGTCACCTTGCAACATTGTCACATTTTATCACTGCTTCTGGGACAAAATGTGTATGTTTAAGGTATGAAGTGTATACATTTAATTCCTGTGGAATTAGGATTGGTCAGCTAAATTGACGCGTTAAACTGGGCCCCAGATTAGTTTTTATAAATTTCAGAAATATTGCCCCAGAAATAGTTACACAAAATCAAATTTCCTGATGGGGAAGGGCCCCTCTGTTTAGAGCTGAACACCATCTGTTTCCACAACAGCTGGTATGCACAGGGTGGAAGTAAACTTTAAATGTCTATTTATTTTCTATTACTGTGTCTTTTTCAAGTAAATCCCAGAATTCATTGCTTTGTTGGCAGGTACACCTTGGAGAGATCTTCAGTATATCATGGAGCCATGTATAAAGACAAACAACCATTCACACTAAGATCAGTGTAAGGGTGATCAACTAACCTAACACTGCATGTTTTGGGATTGTGGGAGAAAAACTGAAGTGTCTAGAGATCATCAGTGACCACCGGAGACCAAACCTGAGATCTTTCTGCTGTGAGATGAGAGCAATATCCACTTTTTGACCTTGTGGTTGTTAAATTGGCACTATTCCTCATGTATAAGCTGTTCATACAAATATGCTACAAGATGATTTATTATACTGACAATGTAATATTATAAACAGAAGTTTGATGATGTTCACCTTGGGCCCTGTTCTTCAGGATGTTCTCCACCCGTTTGACTGTCATTTCCAGCACCTCTGCGTTCTCCATCTTTGACTGCAGCTGAACGGACAAAAAAAGAGTCAGAAACAAAGAGTGGAAACACGGGCTGCTCCACATTTACAGCCGAAACAGCATGTGTGTTCCTTATAAAGAACATCATGTTGCAAAAGGCTGCATCTTACATCAGAATCCGCGATGAGAACCCGTAGCTCTTGCAAACTTTCATTGATACGAGCTCGCCTTTTCTTCTCCACCAGAGGTTTCCTCATCTGTGCGGCGGACAACGACAGACAATCAGTGAGAGTCAGGGAACAACAAGTGACAAAAGTTCACTCCGCACTGTTCTTTGTCTTACCTTTCTGTCAGATTTAACTCCGTTGTAGTTACTACTATCGCTTATGTCCATTCCGCTGCCGTTGTTCCGGATGGGGGCCATGTTTGTTGGAGGTGAAATCAGACGTTGTTCGTGTGTGTGTGTGTGTGTGCGTGTGATCCAGAGGGAGCCGTTACAGCTCGTTAACACAGACAGATGGCCGGGAGATCCCAGCGGCCAACAAAGCTCCTACAGACTGAACAGAGGGGGCATGTGTTAGGTTTATACCAGGGTTCATTTGCATGTGAATGGGTGAAACTGCCAACAGGAGCGGGACACAGATCCAGGGCGTGTAACCGTCTGCCACTAGTGGTCATGTTTCAGCTGTTGCTCCAGACTCACAGGACACCTTCACACGTACTCCTACTCACTTCTTTTCGTGTTTTTTTTTTCTTCTTTTGCATGGTAGCGTTGACAAGAAAATCCGGACATCACAATTCTATAATTAACATAGTGTCAATTAGAGTCCTAAAAATGCAACATAAAGCGGGACGCACACTTATTTTTACGCAGGGCCACAGCACAGCATTATGGGTGCCCTCAAAGGGCCAGCTGTAACTGAAATACTATTTTATAGCTACATAGACTGATGTATTTCACCAATGGCAAAATAAGTTTACAAGCATGCACATTGTACATTTGAAAGTTAAGATAAAGACATCATATTGTATAAATAGAAAAATTATGTTATTCATTGTAGTATATTACTAAACATTCAGTGCCATAAACATTAGTACAATAGCAGCCAAAACTGTTCTTTTATGTACAGCTTTCACTTGATTTTGGATGACTTTTGATGAGCTTAATTGGTTTTCATTCCCAGCTTTATTAGCCAAGCAATGTTTGCAGGCTTTTGTTAGCTTTGCATTTGGGAAGCTTCAGTTTAAACACTAGACATACCAAACATGAGAAACAAACCCATCCATTGTTTCCTAAATTTTCACGGCTCTGTTTTTCAAATAGACTTTTATACAAACCACTTTTCTTCTGAAACTACATGGACAATTTTCAGAGATACACAAAATTTGACTAAACTCTAATAACGGGCAAGTCTTTGGACGCGTAAACAATATGATCACTTTGGTTAACATTAAAGAATATATTATTGAATGTTAAGATCCATGGGCTTGCCTTAATGACTGGTCTTTCAGAAGGTACTTTCTTTTAAATGCCAATTCACGCATTAGACAATTAGTCAGTAAAGCTTGTTTCACTCCTTATAGTAAGCCATTAGTCTATCTAATTATACAGGCTGATTAACCACTTAAGCAAGTTACATTCCACTGTGCAAGAGCACTAAACATACAAAGAGCTAGTGTGTACTTGAGGTCTGATTACATGTTAAAATCGCTTTGTAAGTAGTTTTGACACATATTAATTTAAAAGGACTTTGCATTAGAATAATTTATTTAGTATAATTTATCTGCAAAAAGTATTATTTATTGAAGGGACCTGACCTGTCTTTAAATGCTAGATTTTAATAATTTGATTATGTTATCATAATTTGGTTATGTTTGGGGAGGCAACACAAAAAACCAGTACAATGTCTGATGACGTTGAGAATGCTTTCAGATGAAATAAAGTGATGAACTAAAGGATGGTGGTGATGGAAAAGGGTGACAATGCCACAGATCTGCCATATCCTTTGATGTGAAATCAACAAAGGACAATATGTGCCTGTGAATGGAAACATTCAATTCATTGCAAACTGTAAATTCCATCAGCTAAGCAACTACAGGAAGAACATCACGAATAGATCACAGTGAGTTCCATAGTATGACAGCCATTATTTAGCTTTCCCTAACAGCTTTTTGCCAAAATTATGTTCTTAATATTTTTAATTATAACACAGGAAAGAAAGGTGTTTGGAAAGCAGTGGTGACCGAGTGCAAACTTTGTTGCTGTCTAAGCTTTCAGTTATTCGGTAACATCCCTCCATTTCCGGATGATTGTATCGAGAACTCTGACACCGTTGAGAAAAGGCGATGCGGCTTTAAATAAATCAGGAAAGCATTACCATATCTGGCTTTGCCCTTCACGATAAAAGCTCAGAGTAATCTTCTACGAATAAAACGGGACATAGCAGTCGTATCCTTTCTGCAAGATATGTTCACAATGTTAAAATATTTATATTTATTTGACTAAAACCACACGAATGTACTTTATTTTAAATATAAATCATTTTATTTTAACCGCACCTTTATTTTGACAGCTGCGAGGCGGCTTTTCCTTCAGACCCACACAGCGACTGTTCGTCAG